AAAAAAAAAAAAAAAAAAAAAAAAAAAAAAAAAAAAAAAAAAAAAAAAAAAAAAATATATATATATATATATATATATATATATATAAATAAATAAAAAAAAATAAGGGCGGAAAAAAGGAAATAAAGAAAAGGGAAATGAGAGAAATGGTACCCTGCAAGTGTTTACCGATTGGAAGCGGGCGTCGTCGTCAGCTCACTCAATTGTTACCACTGCTCACTGGATCCACGGTCTATTATGTTCATCAGACATTGGTAGATACCAGTCATGTAATAGCACGACAAGAACGCAAACAACATAGGGCGCAAACAACATAGGGCGCAAACAACATAGGGAGAGTCATTGCTCTGTAGATCGGCAACAGGAAATTCTTAGATGATAAGCCAGCGAAAGATAACAAGACCCACTCCCTCTTTTGGACAAACCACGCATTTGGCTTCTTACTGATTGGACGGTCGAGGCTGGATCATCGAAGACTTGCCAATACGTTGCATGCCGAAAATCAGATTGTTGGAGGTCGACCGGTACAGTAAAACCTCGTTATAGCAAGATATTCCAGACAGACCAAATCTTTTCGTTATTTCGAGTCCAGAAAAGGCTCTAGAGGATGGAGATCAGTACGATGTGACAGGTGAAGAACACGGCACTTAGTAAGCAAAAGAATTGAGGTCTTCTGCAGCTCCAAAGCTTACGTTAGGGAGACGGATAACATCTATCCTACAATAAGGCAATGGAATGTCCAATAATGAGCCTTTGCATTCGCATAATAGTACAAATAGGGAAAACCTATACCAGGGCACGAAACCAATTGCAAAGGTCGGATATTTGAAAAACATAAAATAGCCAGCGTAAATGCATTTACGAGCTTTGTTCCCCAAATATTCCAGGTTGTGAGTGACCCACACACCACCAATTGTTTGTTGTTCTTTGGTTTTGCCGTGACCTGCTCTCACATGTACCTCTTTAATCAGCGCCGCTTGCTCCCTCGTACGCATACCTTGAAAAGGTCCCAACCGAGTAAACATCTGGAAAGTAACTATGATACGGATAACAACACGAGCAGCAGCACCGATTCAGATGGATGGGACGATGTTTGGGAAGGACGACCGGATAAACTCCCCACTGATCGAATCGTAAGGGAAAAAGGTGTTGACTTCAGCTGGGTTGCTGCTGGACGAGGACAGCGGATCAAAATGGGGGTTCGTTTGAAAATGCGAGGTGGTAAGTGGAGGCGGATATTGGTAGTACTGGTAAGTCTCGTGTAGGTGATCAGTGATACTTAGATTAGAAAGACTTAGGTCACCCACCGCGCTGCAGAACATCAGTGTGGGTATTATATTAGTGGTGTCTAATGGGTTTATATTATGGTGCTGCATCCTTATGGGCTGGTTTAGTTTGCTCTTATAAACAAACTCAGGCATGTTGCTGATGTTATAGTTCATGCTATAGGTGATCTGGCGGAGATTGCTATTGCACAGCTGCCATGCATGTTGTGATGCAGTACTGCACTTAGACATAGTGTAAAGCCAGTGAATGGCCTTCTTAGCGGCCACCAGAAGATTCTACTCCTCTTTAGGCATATGAATGCTACTGAAAGATAGCTTAAGGAGGAGGATAGTTGCTGCCTGCATCATGAAGTGCAATATGCACTACCAGGGGCAGATCTGGTAGAGATGGACGCCATTTGGCTGGTCTGGTAAGAGATCGAGCATTCTCTGTGCTGACTCCAGCGACATTTCGGCCATCTTATGACTGAAGGAGGGCTTTTTATTTGGATCCAGGCGTGCGTCGCGCCGGCACAGACATGGCCGGCCCAACCTGATTCGAGCACTGTAGAAGTGGAACGCCAGGAAAAGTTTCGAACGGGGCACATCTTGATCATGATCGTCTGATTTGCGGACAAAATCAAAAGCCTCGGGCAGATTGTAGTACCAGCGATCGATTCTCGCTCGGAGCTCCCCGATGCGATTCTCAATATGAGCCCACGCTGCGTTGGCGCAATCTGGGGAATAAACCCTGTTGACAATTTCTTGGCTAATGACTGTCAGATCAGTATAGAACAAGTAGCACAAGGCGTGGCTCAAAGGCTGATATTTAAGCCGTTCGGTGTCCCATGGAATGTCTGTGGGTTGAGCGTCTTGGCCTGCGGGTGGATTCAGAGGCATTCGGCGAAGGATAGCTAGACAGTAAAGGTCTTATATCGCTTCGTCTCTTTGTTCCTCCCATCACTACCCCTTTAATGCGGCTTTGAACCGAAGGATAACTAGACTTGTGCGTTGGGTCTTTGCAGTTATCGACATACGACCCCAACCATCACAGGCTCTCCTCCGCACGACATTGACGATGGGGGACCCCGACCACAAGGAGCGCCAGTGGAGATGCCCGCCATCACTGTGGAGGAGATAAAACGGCAGCTATTTGCAGCGAAATCATGGAAGGTCCCTGGAGAAGACGGTCTACCGGCGATAGTTCAGAAAATGACATAGCCCACAGTCAAGCATTGGATCCTTGACTATTGCAGGAGTCGCTGGAAGAGGGCGCGTTACCAAGGCAGTGGAGACATGCGAAGACCATACCGCTCAAGAAGCCGAATGAAGAGAACTACACCATTGCAAACCCTGGTGGCCGATATCATGCATGTGATGTAGACAGTTCGGCCAGTTCCCAGTCCCAGAAACCATTAAAAGTCTGCCCATGAGAAGTTTTTCTATTCCTCTGCGAAGCATACCGATAACCATGGGATTCAATGAAATTGCGAGTCACTGGCGGCTCTAGAAAGGTTCGGAGCTGGCCATTACCTATCAACCAAGCACAGTCCATAGCGATAAGCGCCAATTTGATGCTGCTCTGCAAGCTCTCAAGCCCAGATTCTGATAATTGCTGAGTCGGAACGGGACAATAGTTGAAGACATGTAGGGATAGGTATATCTGAACTCTTCAATAAAGAGCACAGGATTATCCTCAGCAGCATGCAATGGGTGATTATCTGCTAGGAGTATAACTGATGGAATGATTTATACATCATGGACTTCTACACTCTTAGCTCTCGACTGCATACAATCATGCCAGTAATTACTGCGCAGGCACAGAGAGACCCAAAATAGAGGCAATCTTCTCCCGTTCGCGGTCCAGCTGTGAGAGTCTCACTCGATGGGGCTTGCCAATGCCCGTCCGGGGGATTTCGTCCACAAAGACGACACCTCCATCCAAAGCTTTATAGCTGGCCAACTGGGTTTGGATCAGATCTGTCAATTGATCCGCCGTCGACTCGGGAGATATGCCGGCGCGGACCACGTATGCTCGGGGGACCTCGCTGCTGCCATCTGGGAGCATGACTCCGATCACAGCTGCGTCCTTGACACCCGGGTCTTTTAGTAGAATCCCTTCAATCTCTGCTGGCGCAACGGAGTACCTTGAATAACACAACATGTTAGTTGAATGGGTTGTCCAAGGGAGGGTGGGAAAAAAAAGGGAGTTAAGAGAATCGGGTACTTGCCCTCGCACTTTGATGAGATCCTTTGTCCGCCCGATGATATAGTAATTCCCGTCTCGCGCATACACCATGTCCCCCGTCCGGAACCATCCTTGCTCGTCTTTGCCATCTGTCCGCCCTTTATACCCCAAGAGGAGCCCCGGCCCACGTACATACAACTCGCCCGGAGAGTCTGGCATCCCGGTGACGTCTTCGCCCGTGGCGGGATCGACAAAGCGCAGCTCGTATCCGTGCAACAGAGTCCCCACGCTGCCGAATTGCCATGCCACCCCGTAGCGATTTTGGAACACTACCCCCACCTCAGTCATGCCCCACAGATTTCCCGCTACGGCCTCCGGCGACAGGAGGCGCTGGAATCGCTGAATGGAGAACCCGTCAATGGGGGCTCCTGAAATACCAACGTAGCGCAGGGAGGACAAGCTCTCGGCTACCGGCAGGGAGGACTGGTTCAGAATTTGCACCATGGCGGGGACCATATACGTCTCCGAGATGTGGTGCTGGCGGACGGCATCAAGAAAAGCGGAGATGTCGAAGCGCGGAAGAACGTACAAGGGCTCGCCGTACCGAATGGGGAAGATGTTGGTCCAAAAATCGCCAAAGGAATGGTACATGGGCAGTGCCATCAGCCGGACGACGGGGTACGGCACTCGGTAATGGACGCTCAGATGGTGGGAGATGATTGTGTGGTGGGTTCGAATCGCGGCCTTGGGAAGCCCGCTGGTGCCGCTGGTTAAGAACATGGCAGCCGGTGTCCTCTTGCTCTGTTCACTATCTTCGAAACGAAGCCAGTCGGACTCCCCGTGCCGGAGCAGATTCTCCAGGCGGATGGACGGGTCGGCCGTTTGGTCAATAAGACCCTCCGTCTGCGCCGCCGCAGTGTGCGCAAATTGGACTATATTGTCGATAGAGAGCTCATCC